ACCTTCAATCAATAAAAAAAACTGGTGAAATATATGCCTGGCATTATAAAAGAAGAATAAAATTACAGAATTCCTACGCAATCACTTTAATAGCAATCATAGAAGGGAAGCTCAATTCTGTACTTGAGAACAGCATTACTCCCAACAAAGCCTTTGAAATTTGAGCAAAACATATTAAGATCTCAAACATGCTAACCAATAAAATTCAGTAAGAAATAGAACATAGTATGTCCTGCCTCCAAATTCAGGCTTACAGGCCATAATTAACTAATTTTAAACAATTAGCAAAAGAAAGAAAGCACTGACAAGTTGTGGCCACTGTATAGTATTGGCAGAAAGACGACGCAGATATCAACTAGCATATAGGATGTAAGAAAAACTGACCTCCTAAAGGCATAGATCTATTTGACCTTGGCTGAGTTCTTGTCCTGCTATTATTTAGCATCTGAAAAAATCTCTTAAATCAATGCCAATCTTTCGAATCAATGATCAAGCAACACAGCTCCTTGAATACAAGATTGTTGCAATCTGCTGCAATAAAAATTCCACACTGATTAGTAAAATCCCTTGAAAGAAAAAGTAAAATCAAACAAGAATATCAGACGGGGCCCTGAAGAAGAGGTGATTGGTAAAATTCTGAAATCCTAAAATAAAATTCCCTAGGACTAAAAACCATCAAAAAATAAAACCCAATTAAAATTTCAAATGTGTAAACCATGAACACACACACACAACACACACTCACAGAGAGAGAGAGAGGGTAAATTCATTCTTTCAAGAATCCAGAAACACCCAAAACTAAAAATCAGACAAACAGAGGCCCAATTCATGTAAAAGACACTACAGTTTGGAAAAAAAAATGGAAACAAAGAACCAGCACCACACAAATCCAATTCAAACAAGCACACCCCCCCCCCCCCCCCATATACATCACTGATTCCAAAGAAATCAAGGCCAAAATCGAGAGAACAGTGAGATAATCGAGCAAAATTCAAACTTTCAAGATCATACAAATGACCCACAAAGAAATCCCAAACCAATTTACCCAATATTAAGAAATTGAAGTCCAAATTTCCAAAAGAAACAGCCCTTTAATTCCTGACACAGTCCTCTCGAGAGAAAAAAAAAATCCAGAATGAAATTGAAGTTCCAACCTTTGATAAAATGAAAAACAGCTAATTGACCCAAAACTTTACCTGAATCAAATATCATTAAAAGCCCACATATAAGACAATACAGAAAATTTCAGTTATAGAAGCACCAAAACATACCATATAAATATATAAACTGCGCATATATGTGTGAGTTCATATGCACATATATGTATGCATATTTTCACGAGATCTGTGAAGAGGCAAGGAAATAGGCAGAGGAGCGTTACATATATGCAGAGCCAAGGACGACGACTTCAATGCATATGATGTAAGTATATAAAAAAAAATTTGAGTAAAAGCCAAGATTGTGATTGGAAAATGCTAGAGAGAGAGAAGGGGGGGAGGGAGACAGAGGGAGAGAGAACGAGAGTTGATAGATAAGAGACAGACGTACATGAAAAAGTGTTGGACCAGGTCCTGCATACGTTTGAATGGTAATTCCAGAGAGAGGAGAATGGGGGGGGGGGGGGGGGGTGGGGTGGGGAGAGAGAGAGAGTTCTAATAGGTGGAGGTTTCTCAGCTGTTCTGCTGCCATGTTCTCTAGTGTGAGAGAGAGAGAGAGATACAAAATCAAACACCAACATTTCTTTTTCTTTTTTTTTTTCGGAGGTCAAAGACCAACATTTCATTTCCCTATTATTTCTCGCCTTTGTTAGTTCCTCTTTTTTTATTAATATTAATATTATTTATTGCAGATATTTATGTACTAAAATAATACTATTCACCGTTCAAGAAAATTAATTTTAAAACATTTAATAAAAGTCCAATTTATATAATATTTTAATTTTTTTTAATAATTGTATTATTTACTACATTTAATTATATAACAAAAAATAAGAAAAAAATAATAAATATATTTTCTAGTCATTTGGGGTAGGTAAAATATTTCTTCTTTTCTTTTCATATTGTAGGTGGTAACATGCCAAAAGACGGAGAGTGCGGAATGGTTACCAATCACATACTAACAAGTATGCTTAGAAATGAGAAATTTTTGTATCTAACAAAAGAAGTCAAATTTTTATCATCTATGGAGCCATCTTTGTTTTGAATGACCCTCATGATTTTTTTGGTCCATGCTGATCCCACGTGAGGGACCATCAAAGGAGAAAATTATTTTTGTGTGATTGTCATATGATATGACCCATAATAGGCATTTTCCATGTGAAAAGTTTTTTTTTTTGTGATTATATTAAAAGTTGAGGTTAAGTTACAATTTAACGAGGCAGAAATAGCACAATTTATACTAGTCAAGTTACGAGTAACAGAGTTAATTACAATCGATTTGAAAATTTGAGACCGATACGAACTTTTCAAGATTGATCCCAATCATTCCAATTTTGAACATCATTTAGTTGTAATATTTATTTTATTAAGTTGTAACTTAATTTTTTAATGTGATACCATGTTAGTAACCTGGAATTCTTTTTTTTTCTGATATGATTTCCATTGATAACTCGGACATATGAATTTTCCAATAAGACGTGTGCACGCTAAGGTGAAACTCATTTGGATTCATCCTGATAAAACTGATAGAATGACCAGACCAAAGTACTTATGATGTGAACCATATATATAAATTAGTTATTATTTGTATTTGAAGGCACAAAATAATAAAAAAATTCAATCATAAATATATTTGTATTTACACTTAAAACCAAATTACAAACATAGAAGAAAAAGAAAAAAATTTAAATATTAGTTGTAGTGAGATTGAGCCATGATAACGGTGATGGAAGAAAGTGGGGGTGAAAGAAGATGGTGATGGTTGTGGTGGGCGATGACACCCGTGATGGCGATGGCAGCAATGGGTGACAACGATGATAGTGGCGGTGGAATTTGGGTGACGATGGTGGTAATGACAATGGTGGTGGTGGTGGTGGTGGTGGTGGGAAGATGCTAATGGTGGTTGGTCGCGGGGTGACGATGGTGGTAATGACAGTGATGGCGGTGATAGGTTGTGGTGGTGGGCAACGATGGGTGCTTTGTGTCGAATGATAGTGGTGGTAGGCGTGGTGGGGGGTGGGTGACAATGGGTGGTGATGGTCGTGGACAATGACGAATGGTGGTAGTAGGTGTGGTGGGTGAAAGTGGTGGGCGATGGTAGTGGTGGAATAATGGCGGTAGTGATAATAATTATAAAAAATGAGATAATGATGGTGGTGGTAGGGTGGCAGTGGTAACAGTGGTGAAGTATTTTATAGATAAGAGATTTTAAATAAGTAGAAGTTATTTTTTTTAACTTTTATTTACTTACTTATTTAAGTGGTAAAATTAATTTTGACTTATTTGGAAGTAATTAAAATAAGTTATCTCAGACACTATTTTTTTTTAAAGTGCTTATGAAAAATTATAAGTTTTAGAAATACTTTTGAAAAATTATCCTAAACAAATCTTTAGGGAGCATATTTTCCCTATTAGTTGTCAAATTAACTTTAAAATAAAATTGAAGATGATCTCAACAGCGAAAAATAAAAGTTATATTTCATATTGTATTTTATTATATAGATAAAGGTGTGTTTATGTCACTCAAACTCGTGAGTTCGAATAGAACCAAATACAAATCTTGGATGCATGAACCGATCCTTTAATTTATACACCAAAGACTAGAATATTGTTTGTTTAAACAACTGAAATCCGTCTTATCAATCAACTACACTTTTACCACCTAAAAAACTTAAATCTTTAATCTCAACAAGACAAAATAATCATAGATATGGCATATGAATTTATTGACATTTTTTTTTCTATTTTTTCATAGTCCTAAGAACATCATTTGATATTTAGATAATCCGAAAATAAGAATACATGAATGGGACAAAGGGTTGGTGAGAGATGGAATGTTACCTAACGATGTTACATTAATCTATTTTAATTTTTGGGTCAAATTTTCCTTATTGATGAATGATACTACCGCTATTGGAAGGACTTTTTTTTTGGATATTCGGTAGAATGAATTTATTGTCTCCAACTGGTTAGAAGTTATTGACTTTCATTTTTCTCTTTAACGGGGAAACAAAATGTGCCATGAGCAATTAATTTGGATTAAGATTCACAAGTTGTTAACTGATGTGTCTTTGGTCTAATGATACTCTTTATCTTGTGAAAATTTTGTCTTTTTGAGGTCAAAGATTCAAATCTCCATTCCCCTCCCCTAAAAAAAAAATGGTTGTTTGATAAATGCTTGTTTTAATAACAAGAGCTGTAATACTTCTGTTAAAATAAAATACAGAAGTAAGCATTATTGTTGCATGCACGAATATTATTGCATAGGCTAGTGCATAGCCCCTTGGACTATGGTTTATGAACTCTACATAAAATTAGAAGTAAGAAGAGATAAATATCTATTTAGCTTCTGAATTATACTATTTATATTTAATTAATTTTTGAACTATGTTTTGTTTTAATTTAACCTCTGAATTATTCAATTTGGCTCAATGTGCCCCTTCCGTCCAAAATTGTCATTAATTTTGACAAAAACTCTCACATACATATCATATTGCCCTTGGATTATACCCTAATCTCCAATCCACATGATGTGCGCACGTGAGGATTTTCATCAAACTCAACGAAAAATTTGGACGAAAGAGCCATATTGAGTTGGATAGCACAATTCAGAGGCTAAATTGACACAAACGTAAGTTAGGTGTTTGATTGATACAAACAATATAGTTCAATGGCCAAATAGATAATTAACTCAAGAAAGTATTATTGTTGCAAATAGGAAGATTATTTACATGACTCAAATACAAGATACCTAAGTCATATTTATGCAATTTTATCCTTCCATCAAGACCCGCCCCCTCTAAAGTCCCAAAAGTATGCACAAAATATTACTCTGATACTCCA